CCCCCCACCCCGCAAAAGGTAACCAACCATCTCACCAGTAATTTCAAACCCGTCCTATGAAAAGGCTCAACCCCCCCCCCCCTTTTACCCCTAAGCCCCCCTCCCCCCCCCCCCGGGGGGGACCCACCCCGCCCATTGTTTCGGAAAAAAAAACCCTTGCCCCCCCCCCCCCCCCCTCACCCCCCCCCTTTCACCCCCCCCCCCCCCCCTCCTCTTCCGGACAGGTGCTCCCTTCGTCTACTGCGCCGCCATGCGGGCCTCGCTGCGCGCCGGAGAGTGGGAGGCCGCCTGCCGCCCGCTCACCCTACCCCCACGCGACCGAACCCACACTGGATTCGGGACTCGGGAGGGTATGGTACTAGGCCGCCTTGTCGCTCCTCGACCGGATGCGAGCGCGCGGCGTGGCGCCCCGACCGTAGACGCTGAACACCCCTCCCCTACCCCCACGGTACCCGAACCCATCCCCTACCCCCACGGTACCCGAAGCCATCCCCTACCCCCACGGTACCCGAACCCATCCTACCCCCACGGTACCCGAACCCATCCCCTACCCCCACGGTACCCGAACCCTAGTATCCCACCAGCACTCGAGGAGAGACACGTCGTCCGCTGTCGAAACCGGTGTATTCCGCCGTCTTCGGTGTCGCACCCCTCGTGCTCACTCGCTCCTCTTCCCTTCTCAACACCGTCTTCCCGCTCTAGTAGCGCTCGAGAGGACACGTGTTCCGCCGTATTCACTGTCTTCGCCTCCCCTCGTACTCACGGCGCTCCTCTTCCCTTCTCAACACCAGCACTCGAGGAGAGACACGTATTCGGCTGTCTAAACCGGTGTATTCGTGCTCACGCGCTCCTCTTCCCTTCTCAACCCCGTCTTCCCGCCCTCACGTTGGCGTATGTATTTGGCATGTAGGACCCCGACTCGCACTGCCTCGGCGCAGCGCTCGAGGCGACCACGACGATCACCCCATCTCTCTCTCTCTGCCCCCCCCCCACATTTTTATCGAGGCGCTCGCTTATCCCCGGCGCGGCCCGTCCTGCTGCGAGGTTTTTTGGTATTGCCATACTCCAGCCTTATCCGGCTTGTACACCGTGGGGGTCCCACTTGCCT